GAACAACAGCGACAGCATGGCGTTGTGCTGATCATAGCCGAATGGATGGACGAGAGAGGTACGGCCATGCTGTCTGATGCGAACGCCTTATAGAGTTGCAACTCGCCTTCATCCGCCTGATAACTGCATGTTCAATGTGATAATTAGCAGGCGATGTGGCCCCTGTTGTTGTTGTTATTTAGAGATTGCCGGATCACTCCGCAGAATCCACAGGGATTTTATCTTATGTAAGGATTGTGAACCAGTTGTCAGGATTGCCAAACCTTTGTCTGATTGTACGCATCCGCGTTTACGTGCGTTATGTTCTGTTTACCTTCGTACGTGATAAGTTCCTAACTGAGACTGAAGAACGTATCTGAAAGTTATTAATCACATTAGTAAATAACTCGTTTTACCTTAAAAGTTAAGTTGATCCTGCACTCTTTCTACATGGGTCATTCTTGAGGTGAATGGAGAGCAATATTTCGTTGAACTAATGAATTCAAGGCTTGAAGTTTAGACGAACTTTGGTATGATCGAGTTTTTCTGCATAGTTATTTCTGTGTGATCGTCCTTCAATAATGTTCGTCTTCTTTAGCAGCGGCAGCTGCTATCGTTATGGTTAGAGAGCGTGGTGGCACCGTGGATGACAGTTTGACTTCGAACTCCGGACTTGCCAGGTTCGATTCCGGAGAAGGAATACAGTTTTGTATTAACCACAAGTTTTGTATTTCCCCCGAACAAGAAGTTTTTCTGACGTTGTTTCGGCGCAATCATCTGAAAGCAGTTAGCAGGGGCAGCATGAAGCCATATTAGAATGGGTAAGAGGTACAGTGGGCTGTTCGATGCAAACGCCTTATAGGACTGCAGTTCGTCTTGACTTACCCGATTTCTGACTATCCAATGTGATGATCACTAAAAGCTTTAACCCGTTCCAAAAAAATGTTTTGTCTCGTCACAATTTATGAACAGAATATGTGCAGGGTGCAGAAAGTAATGACAAATGCGAACAAAAAGTAAATACCTTTTCACCGTCCTCTTTGGTCCTGAATAGGACCGTTATGACTTTCAGAACTTCAGTGTGTAACTGTCAGTATAATATTATGTTAACCATATATTTATGGTTTCATATAGATTCGTCTGTC